TTCTTGTTTAGGCATGAGTACTTAATGCTCACATGTCTCTCTTTACTTCCTCCACGACACCTCTACCTGCACAACAACAGGGAGTAAGTGCCTTGTTCGTTACTACGCACAATGAAAAGCATGTTGGTTGTTATTGTTGATGTTTACGCGTGCTCATTAAGCACCGTATTGATGGGCCAGGCCTAGCTGCACGGTCTAACGTATTTTAGTGCAGGTATGTTTTGTGTTCACACAATGTAAATTGTAGGCAGACTAGTGTTGCTGAGTTCCTCTTGACGTTACATTCATAGCATGTGTTTTCCTTTGCATGCAACAGATGACTGTGGCCAATGCTGGTTGTTTTAAACATTACCATAGCATTAGGCATGAGGATGACACTAATGCACAAGATAAATAGTTACTATTTTGCAGATTTAGTTTGGTATTTTTATTTGCAGAGACTGGAAGGTAAAAAGAAGTAACTTCTGTACATCGTTTGTAAGTGTATTATACTGTATGTGAAATAATCAAAGCACCGCCTTTTTCCCAATGATATTATCTGACTTCATTTCAAATTTCCATCCCTATAATAATGTGATGCTTACTTTTGTTCCTTATTATTGAACCACAATATGCGATACATTTGCAGAAATATTCCTCGTATTTTTTGCAAATGAACAAACTGTGTCTGCATTTTGCCGGTTTATAATACTTTGGGCTTTAATAAGTCTGGTTCACAATACGATGCTAGACTTTCATTTCGTTTGCTACAGTTTTATTGCAATTTTGTGAACAGCGCAGCTCACTGACAAACGAAATGGAAGTCTATCGTCGTATTGTGAATTGTGAACCAGGCTTTACTCTGTTAAAATAGATGGAAAAATGCTGGCTCTTTGTATATTTGCTAGATGACTATGCTGAGGCTCTTAGAAAAGGCACTGTTCCTGGTGCTTATGTGCGGTTAATGTTCCTTGGGGGCAGGGGGTTCGGGGAAGAGCAGCTTACTCGATGGCCTTATGAATGTTCCATTAAGAATGGCGGAAACCACAGCTGTAGCTGACACACGCACTGTGTCATTTCAGTGGATCAAAGCAGCAGATAGTTGTGAGGAGGCTTGGAAAGAGCATACTAGTTCTGACGAGGCTACAAGTTTAGCAGCTCATTCTCATAGTCTTGCTATGAAAAAGAGGAGAGGAGAGGAAGGAGGAGGGTCCTATATCACTAACTGGGCTTCGGTTCCCGCAGTTGTTAGCTTTGGTTTGGCTGCTGGTGCTGCTTTTATGAAGCATCAAGGTAGTGGAAAACAAGTTAGTCGTGAGCATAGGGAGAAGGTATCAGAAATAGCCAGCACTGCCTATAGTGAAATTATCAAAGAAGCAAAGCAACATAGTGCACAACAGCAAGGGAAACATAATCCAGATGTTGTAATGCACATATGGGACTGTGGGGGGCAGCCTGTGTTTCTTGATATTCTTGCTGCATTTCTTACTCCTCGCACAATGTTTCTTCTTCTTTTTGATGCTTCCTCTAATCTTGAGGAAATGTATAAAGAAAAATGGCACCACCATGGTAAACCTATTATGGGAAGGGAGCAAAATATCACACACTTGCAGCTATTAATACAATGGTTGCAACTAATCCATTCTTCCCTTATTGAAAAGAAAGAGCACTTGCCACTTCAGGCCAGTCTAAGCTCTGATATTATTCCAAAGTTTCCTCGAGCCATGCTTGTTGGTTCACGGAAAGACCAAATAACACCAGAGGAAGTAGAGGGTGTAAAGTCTCAACTTCAGTCTGCCTGTGATTATGCTTCATTTAGTAAAATTATAGTTGACAAGCTCCTTGTTGACAACACTAAGGCTGGGAAGGGTAAGGAAGAAGATCCTGGGTACAAAAAAATTCGTGAAAATATCAATGAATTTGCAAAATCGCTTGTGGTAAACACTCCACTGGCCTGGGTTACTTTCAGGCAGGTTTTGCAAAAGGTTGCCGAGGATAAGCCAATTCTTTTATACAGTGAAGTTGTTTTCATTGCCGAGCAATGCAAAATTCCTACAGAGGTTGTACCAAGTGTGCTTCAATTTTACCACCAGTTAGGTGCACTTTTACACTATGCGAATGTACCATCTCTTGCCACTACAATAATAGTTGAGCCACAATGGCTTATTAACCAGTTGCGACTTCTGCTAATGCCAGATTGGTTTGGTCACCGACCTGACCATCTGAAACTGTTTTGGAAGTGGTTTGAAGAAAGAGGTGTTGTTGTTGAAGAGTTATATCAGGAAATATGGAAAGATTGTGAGCTAGAGGGGGGCCCACAAGCTCTTGTTGATGTTCTTCTTCATTTTGATCTTGCTACCGAAATAAATGAATGTCCATATGACATGAAGTCTAGCCGAGGAAGAAAGTATTTCATGCCTTGCGTATTGAAAGTAAAGCCTAAATCAGAATCAACAGAAAATTCAGAGCCACCACAATTCAAGCCTGTACGCGAAGCAGCTACTCTATATATTTGTTTTAGTACAGGTTATGTCCCGCCTGGTTTTTTTGTCCGATTAGTTGCACACATGTCTAACCGGGAAGGTTACACACCACTTTTAGATACTAGAGAGGTGTATCGAAATAGTATTTTGTTTAAGTGCAGAGATATTGACCGAATAATTGTGTCCGAATCACTGGAAAGCATATCTGTGAGGTTTTTTCGAGTGGCAGAGCGAAATAGACACAATATTAGATTTGCTGAGTCGTGTATTTTGCTACAGAGGGAGCTGGTTAGCATGTGCAAGAATGTACGTGACTGGATGCCGTGTGTTACAGTCAACTGGCATTTCCATGCACATGTTCACAAAGTGCTCCCAGGCACTTCGTAGCATTGAAGCCTGGTGTTTCTTGCGAGTCCAATCTGTTTTGTGCTCATGACAATGAGTATGAACTGTCTCCTCAGCAAAGGTTCTGGCTACCATTTCCAAGTGAACTTCCAGTGCATGTGAGTGTGGCCCATTTAATCTCTACTATCATTAATTTTAATTAATTATTGTGTCGCTCTATGCAGTCTCCTGTTGAGGACGGTTCTCTGACTGAAACTGAAATGAAGCTTGTGGCCAAGGAGATAGAAAATGATTTATCAGATGTTGTTGAAGAAATGGAGATGCAATATACACTCAAAAAAATTGCAAGGGCCCCGAGAAGGAGCAGGGAGCCAGCATATGCTGTCATCTCCGATTTTGTTGAGGGTGAAGGTGGTACTCGTTATGAACTTGCTCAACTGTTAGATAATGCCGGCTTTGATGAGCTATCAAGGAAGTAAGTGAAAGTCAGCTCATTTCCAATAGCATCTGTTGACGTGTCATTTTATAACTGCAGACTACTTAAAGGCCAGTTAATTCAAGGCAGTCAACAATATGCTGATGTAAGTTTTTAGTCTGCTGTGCATGTTATATACCGTAGTATGGCTCGTAATTTAAGAGTGGAAAGAAAACTGAATGCTGCTAGAAATAATTATACATCTCCACTTATAGAACTCACTCAGTTCTGGAATTTTAATTTGCAATGCATTTCTATGTGTGATCTTTGTTACTGTACCTGTACAAAAGAGTGTTTCAGATTTGGCCCATGTACTAAAAACTTAGTGTATTGACATTGTCTTTGTCTGTTTACCTGCAGCCGTTAAGAGATACTCCCACTCTACCACAACTAATGGCTTTTCCAATGGTAAATGGTAGTGCAATTAACATTCTTACAAGAATTGGTGTTCGCTACAATGTTTTTGGACCATTCCTGCTGAATGATAATGATGGATCCGTAACTGATACCCTGAAGGAGACGTGTATGAGAGAATCGCATGCAATCAACCAAGAAATTTCGAAACAGTGGTTGCAAGGTAAAGGGAAATTGCCGGTAACATGGGCCACCTTTCTTAGTGTATTGAAAAAGATGGATATGAAAGCCCTTGCCTTTGATATTGAGTCATCTCTCCGGGGTAAGTCGTCCCCCTAGGGGCGACAATAATTATTCTTCAAACAGTGTACATAACTGGCTGTCTTTTGTGTTTAGTTCTTCAGTACAACTGTCCTCATATTAAATTAAATTGTATTTTGTTTTGTATCCAGCTTTTTTGAGTTCATGTGTTGTGCTAGCGTGTTAGCCAAATCTCAACTGAAGAAAAATAAAACTCCTTTCCCACACAATTCCCATTGAAATAATCATTGTATTGAGCTTCATGTTCCTAGACAATTCCCAATCTCTTGGAAAACGTGCAACAACCTAATGAAAATTGCTCTGAATAACTGGAAATGTGTACTAAAAGCATTCAACCATCAAACTGTTTTATCACTTCTTGAACAAAGGTACCTCACATACCTCCAAAAGTTACTTTTACTTCCTCTTTCGACATACTAGAACAAATGCCACACATTTTTATGACCAAGAGCGAGCAGTTCAACATTTTGGAATGAATTTCAATTTTTCACACTAACACCATCAGTAGCTAGCTACAGTTTTATCAAATGTGTAGCTACCATATTATAACATCTAACAAGAAACTGTTATTTCTGAACAAAGCCACCTCAAGAACAATAATTACTGAACAAAGCTACGTCAACTAGCTCAAAAGTTACTTGTGCATTGTTTACTTACCATGGTGTGTGCATCTTACCACCAACACTGTGTTACTGAACAGCTTATGATTCCTATCATCAGTATTGAAAGTGTAACGTGTAATGTCCCCTGAACCAAGCTGCAATCAATGAATTAAGCAACCCCAGATACCTCAAAAGTTACTTCTGCTTTTCAAACTTTACCTTGGTGTGGATGTGTCTTAACACACTATTGGTATAGAGCTGTGTCAATGTACCAATGTGTATCATCTACGTTAACCTTTCAAAGATGACACCTGTACATGAAACACTGACTGATGATAGCTAGACTATGGAAATCCTCCCTTCCCTATCAATTTTTTCACTTCACTAGCATCCAATCGCCATCAATTAGATTGTCTCTACAACTTTGACAAACGTAACAATAGTTACCAATAATCATTTGCTTCTGCTTTTTTAAAGTCATACTACTAAGGGTCATAAGCCTAATGTTAAACACTTCTGAAATATCTATTGCTTGAGAGTGTGTATTGACTGTTGTAATGAAGTGAAAATGAAAATTATAAATCTTTGCTCGCCCCATCTACTCTGTGCATGTGGATATACTGGCTAATAATAGTGCTCCAGGAAGCAATGAAGAGCTAACTAAGAGCACCTCATTTCTAAACTTGACTTTGTCACAATGGGCATTCACTGTCACTGTTGCTGAACATTTTCTGCTCTATTAGTACCCAACAAAGTGAACTTTTATATAATTATTCCCTCGAATTAGAGTGAAATCCCAGAAAGCAATCACTTCTTCATATTGGAAGCAAATAGCTGATGGTGAGCATGTATGGCTTCAGTAGATTGCTTCCTGTGGTATTTGAGAACAACTGAAGGATGAAATAGCAATTGACTATTTTGACATACATTGACTTTCATCTGCTTTCAAATTTGATGTATCTTTCGCTCTACAACCTTAATGACAAAGTTATAGCAGCTGTAGCTACAAAACACCATTTTCAAATCTGATCCTTTTCTCTTCAAGAATGATAAGCCCCTGAACTATGGACATGTGTAAGAGAGCAAACACTTGCCTCAATCTATTCTGTGTGTATAAACTGACTATCAACTGCTGTTTTGAAACTATGACGTAGTTGCCATAACAGCATTATATCATCAATACCAAAGTTGATTTGAAATGGCACATAAAGTGACTTGTGCTGTGCAAATGGCAAACATTGAACTCTTTTCCAATATTAACGTGCTTCATCCACAAACTCCTACAACAACTGACTACCATAAGAAACTATCTACTCTGTCCCTGCTATCCATCAATTGGTTCTAACTGTGCCTGACTTCTAACTGAAATGAGAAGTCACACATTACTTATCAAACTATCATGATAAAAGGTGTGACAATTAGTCTATCTTCTCTTCAAGGCCTCCCTCAAATGGATAAGAGCAATGATCTAATTCCACTGCCTTTGAAACAAAAGAATCCTCTCCTTCTTGTGTACTAACTTTTATCTGCTGTGAAACTGGTTTAACCAAACTAATGATAATCAATTATTCACACATCCATATGGCCAAATATAATCGATCCTTGAAAATAGTATTATGATGCTGTGGGTAATGCCCAACTGAACTCTGATTCGCATAATGAATTTACTGCCTATAATTGCTTATCTCAGAGCTCCTACACTATGGACTGTTCAATGACTGCCTGCTTTTCCCCTAAACCCAATTTTGGACTTTGAATTATTATTAATGTAAGAAAAAACAAACGCGCACAAACTGATCAATCACTTAAGACTTAGTCATGGAAAGAGAAAGACAATAGAGACCGTGCTGACAATGATGTCATCATCGAGATTTCTATGTTCCAAGATAATTATTGAGTCTCACCCCTCAAGCATGAACAATGACTTATGATCACTTTCTACTTGCCCGAAACAAAGACAATTCATCCTGTGCTATATCCGATTACATCGCGTCTGCTTGAAGAGAATAGTGTTGTCAAATACCAAGTCATGTATAGCAGAATATTATACAGTGACTATGTGTTAGGTATATGTAGTCTGTCTCTGTGATCCACACTGCTACCAACTGTACAGAGAACTAGCTGCTCTGTCTCCTGAACCCATATTGATGATATTATTTGAACTCTTGAATACTGCAGAGCACACAAAAACTGACCAATCCTGTCATGAAAAGGATGGGCAACCAATTATCCGAGTTGACAACGAGTCACTGTGTTTCTTTCCCTAAATGATAAGTCTCCTTTCTTCTGATGAACAAATGGAAAATGAGAACGATCACTTCTCTAAACGAAGAAATCAATCTTGCGTATATACAGTGACTTGCTGAGAATAGGTTATTACCCACTTTGAACTTCTGATCTCAAAATGAACATCAATACTGCAGAACTATCTACACCAAATCGACTACAATCGAATATACACAAAAGCCTAAACCGTCAATTGACTTTGAAAATAATGTAATGAACTCGAAAAAGAAAAAACCACACGAAAAGTGATCAATCCTTCATGAAAAAGATAGACAATAGAGATTACACATGTTGACAAAGAGTCACCATTTACCCTAACATGAAATGATTCTACTTGCCCCGAAAACAAAGAAATTCCATCTTG